CCCCTCCCCAATCATAACCCTTCCTCTCTACAAAGGTTAACATAAGCCTTAATTTAGTGTAATTCTCTTTATCATGTTACTACATGTTTATAAATTTCTAAACAATACATTGTTGACTTTTGCTTCTTTTTGTAAACCTTACATAAATTCATGCACTTTGCTTTTTTCTACAACACAAAGGTTGTGAATTAATCTCTTTTGATACTTGTTGTGCATTCATTTTCACTGCTGTGAAATTACGAAATGATGAAGATACCATCAGTTATTCTCTTCCCTGTTGATGGACATTTGGAAGGTCTCAGATTTCTGCTACCACCAACACTGCCGCTTTCAATATTCATAAGCCTCTCCTCTGCCGCTCAGTTTCGACTTCATCCACTCAGGGGTTCAACCGCTGGTTGACAAGAATGACATCTTCCTCTTTGCCAGACTGTACCACTTACACTCCTGCCAGCAACTAGAAGAGTTTGTGATGCTGCACATCCTGGCTTTGCCACATCCTGGAGGCCAGGGTCCTGGGTACTCAGAACTCCCTTGACCTCAGCTTCTCTCTGACCCAGCCTCTCAATGTCACTCTTGCCAGGGGTTCTCAGGCTATTTGGGGTTTCCTATTCTTCCCAAGTCAAGTTAGTGTGATTCTCCAAACATTTATTAGCCTCCAGCTATGTCAGGCAGAGTGTTGAGGGGATACTGCAGCAAATAAGGCATTCTTTTTCTCTTTTGGGGACAGAGTCTCACTCTGTTGCCCAGGATAGAGTGCTGTGGTATCAGCCTTGCTCACAGCAATCTCAAACTCCTGGGCTCAAGCAACCCTCCTGCCTCAGCTTCCTAAGTAGCTGGGACTACAGGTGCCTGCCACAACACCCTACTAATTTTCCTATTTTTAGTAGAGACAGGGTTTTGGTCTTGCTCAGCCTGGTCTCCAACTCCTGAACTCAAGGGATCCTCCCACTTCAGCCTCCCAGAGTGCTAGGATTATAGGTGTGAGCCACCGCACCTGGCAAGATATGCTTTTCCTTCTCCAGGCACCCACAATATGCTGAGGGAGCTGAGGGAGTCAGGATGGGGGCACAGGTAACTTGAACACCAAGCTCCTTGCCCTCAAGGAACCATTTCCTCCTCCTTCCGACTTAGCATTCATCCTTGGGTTCTATGAAAAGCACAGTGCAAAGCTGTCTCCTGAGCTTCCCCACCCTAACCTCCAACCATTTGCTTGACAGCTCCACCTGGCTGTCTTTGGAGACCTTAAATTCTAATGGTTAGAGATTATGGACCCCACTGACCAACTTACAGTGCACAGACAGCACAACAAAGAACTATCAGGCCCAAAATGCTGAGGCTAAGAAACCCTCTGTGGTTTAAAGTCACCCCCCTCCGAAATTTCCCCCTTTCACAATCATGTCTCATCAGTGGCACCTGTATTCATTCTCCCAGTCCCTCATGCCAGGGAGGTGGGATTCACCCAGATTTCTCCTCCTTTACAAGCCACAGTCAATCATCTCAGTCCTGACAATTCAGCCAATTAAAGCTCTCGCCAACACCTTCTCTTCCTCCTCTTCCTCACTGCCCTTGCTCAAGCTGCCTTCATTTATTTTGTGGACTATATATTCAAAAAATAGCCCTCTAAGTGGTCTCCCTTCTCATCTGACCTCTTGCCATACTGCCTCCAGAGTTGTCTTCCGAAGTCCCATGGCCCTTCCTGAAGGCCACTAACCCTTGTCATTTTCTTCAAATCCTGCATATTCCACTTCAACTTTATTCTATAGGATAAAGGCTAACCAATTCCTTTGCACACAAGATCCTGACTATCTGTTCCAACCTTTCGTGCAGCAGTGGAAGGTGCTCAGTGTTTCGGGCAGACTGGTGTTCTGTTCCACACACATCTTGAACTTTATGCCCGATGGTATTCGTGTATGTGGTGTGCTGTAGCTGGAGGCCCTCACAGCCTTTCTGACAATTTGAATTCCACTTATGCTTAAAGGTCCAATCTAAGTGTTCTTTTCTCTGTGAAGATTTCCCCAATTCCTCCATTAGGATTAATCCCTCCTGAGGACAATTTTAATTTTTTTTTTTTTTGAGACAGAGTCTCAAGTGGTTGCCCTGGGTAGAGTACCGTGGCATCACAACTCACAGCAACCTCACTCTTGGGCTTAAGCAATTCTCTTGCCTCAGCCTCCCAAGTAGCTGGGACTATAGGCGCCCGCCACAACACCTGGCCATTTTTTCTGTTGCAGTTGTCATTGTTGCTTTAGCTGGCCCAGGTAGGATTTGAACCTGCCAGCCTTGGTGTATGTAGCTGGCACCCTACCCACTAAGCTATCAGTAGCCTCAATTTTAATTTTTAATCACAGTCTAATGTGAATGGGGCTACAGGTATGCTTGCCGTATGTGTGTTTACCAGCATATGTGTATCTTTATTGCTAGACTGGGAATATGTCTTGAGATCAGGAACTTTGTACCATTGAATATCAAAGCTATTAGCTAATAACAGTGGGCAGAATTATACCGCCCCAGAAGTGTTCAGTTCATAACCCTGGGTGCCTATGAATGTGACCTTATTTGGAAATAGGGTCTTGGTAGGTGTGATCAAGTTCAAACGAGGTCATGCTGGATTAAGGTGAGTCCTAATCTAATATTGTACAAAACGAGGGCTACTTGGGAACAGGCACAGAGACACACACAGAAAATGTCATGTGACAATGGGATTGAAGATTGGCATAACACAGTTGCAAGCCAAGGAAATCCAAGAATTGCCAGCAACCACTAGAAGCTGAAAGAAACAAGGAAGGACACTTTTCCCAGAGCCTTTGGAGGAAGCGTTGCTCTGCTGACACCTTGACTTCAGAATTCGAACCTCCAGACCTGTGAGAGAATAAACTTCTGCTGTTTAGAGACATCCAGTTTGTGGCACTTTGTACGGCAGCTCCAGGAGACTAACTCACTGATCCAGTGCCAAGCACAGAGCCTGCAAGGCACATAGAAAGTGTTGAGTAAAACATAATGCCTGCCCTCCAGGAATTTGGGGGGCACCAACATGTATATGATTGACATTTCTTTACTTCTTGGAATTGTCTGCATACCGACTTTTCATGTCTTTGGCTATGTACATCCACAGACAGGGAGTTAGGCTTTAAGCTTTTACGCACCTGACTGTCCTCTGTCTTCATAAAGCGACTCTGGCACAGTCAGGCTTCAAATGACAGGGGATATTTTTCTCCCTGTGTTGAGGTGTCACTGCTGGCCCACCATGGGAAGAACAATCCATAGGTTTCCAGGGAGAAAGCAGGTTCCCCGAGATGTGTCAGGTCCAGGTCAGAGTATCCAGCGACGGAGATGATTGCCATTCCTTCTTTCTCTGGAAAGGGCAACGGCTCAGGGTCTACCTTGGCTTTGCTCAGCACTCTCTGGGGCCTTGTCAGTGTTCACACCGTTCACCCCAGTGTCACTAAGAGAGAACTATTTGATTCCCACAACATGGAAGGAAGCAGAGCAAGGTATCATTATGCCCACTTCTCAGATGAGGAAACTGAGGTGATTTGCCTCAGGTTACACAACTTATAACAGAAGAATCAGAGCTGAAAGCCAAGTCTCCAGGCTCCCAGTAAAGCACTTATTCCCTGAACCTCACTCCTCACCTCTCATACTAGAAAGGAAGCCTCGCTGGAGGGGGCTCTTTGGGAAGGAGATAGCTTAGCAGACTGCCTATCCAAGTGTTTCCAGACTTCTGCTTAGCGTCTGGTTTCCTCACCACTGTGAAATCTCAGAGCTGGAGGGCACCATGGAGACCACCAGCCCTGGATTAGCACCGGAGAGATGTTAAGCCTGGGCAGCAAGGCCCAGGAGAATGTTGGCAGTTCCAGCTGCCCTCCATCTTCTCATCCTGGAGCCTGGGGCCATGCCTCAGTCCTCTCAGGGCAGGAACTGCTGCTGTGCTGACCTTGCAGTTCTGATCCCCCAGGGAAGATAAGATTCTCCAGGGTAAGCCCTGGCCTTCTCTCAGCCCACCTGAGGCTGCTTCCTGGCTAGAAAGCACTTGGCACTGCCTGCCCCAGCCCAGACAGGCACTTAGTCCGGGCCAGGTGGTGCCTCAGCTGCCTCAAGTGACTCTAAACTTCTAGTTCTAGTTCTCTATGTTTAATCTTTCTTTGGGAGAGAGAAGTTGAGCTTCCTCTGCCCTGCTGCATACCCTGCCCCTCCAGCCCAAAGTCCAGAATCAGTGTAAGGACAGTGCCTCTGACACATTTGTTTTCAGTGCTGTGGGCACTCAAATGTTTGTCAAACTGACTCTAAGGTTCTCCTTTTGGGAGGGGCTGGCTTTCTATGAGGTGTGTTTTGTATGAGCCGCAGAGAAAGCAATACCCTTTCATCTCAGCAAGGCCTACTGGGTGTTTGTGTGTGTGTGTGTGTGTGTGTGTGGTTCTGAAGCCCTGGAATGGGGAGAGTGCGCCCCAGGAAGGGGCCAAGCGCCCTAGAACGGACATTACCTGCTCTAGCTTTTCCGCTGGCGTCATGTTCTTGGATTTCTCTGGGCTAAGTCGGTTTCCCAGTAGTGAGTTCAGCCTGACCCCATCTTCGCGTCCCCGCCCTCTCCCCACTCCCCAACACCTCGGGCCGCGACACCAGGAGAGGAGGTGGCCCAACCCCAAGCTGGTCCGACTGGTTCTGAGCAGGAAGTCTCCCGCCCTCGCCCCGGGCAGCCGACCAGCCCCTCGCTGGCCCCTGCGTCTGTCTGTCCGTCTCGGGGCGAGTCCGACAGTCCACTAGGCGCTCGCGGCCGCGCGGCCAGGCTGGCCCGGGCTGCAATCAATGCCGCTTTGTCCGGGACGCCCACACCCCAGAGGCCGCTCCTGGTCGGCAAATCCGAGCACGGCGCGGGGCTCGCGGGGCTGAGATAAGCGGCCATGTGATCCTACCTGGGCGGGCGGGGGAGGGGCGCAGGTGAGCTGGTGGCGGCTGGGCGCGCAGCGCGACGCACGCGGCGGCCGCGGGGCTCGGGCAGCATGTCTGTCAGCAGGAAGGACTGGTCAGCGCTGTCCAGGTGAGCGGGGCTCCGGGGCGGGGGTGCACTTCGGATTTCCTGTCCCTGGGCGTCCGCCTCCTCCCTGCCCTGGGACACCTGGTACCCGTGTCTTGGTGCTTCTCAATGGGGACAAAATTGGGGCCAAACTCAGGACTCCTCAGGTTCCAGGGTGTGTATTCTGGCTCCTCTCTAGCTTCTTGTCTTCTCACTGTGGCCTGAGACCTCAAACAGGGTCCTTGGGGAAGGATGGTCTCCGGCCTGGACAGCCCCAGAATGTGACCACCCTATGGGTTGGGGGCAGCCAGGAAGGATTTGGGGGACTGGGGAGGTGTTCAGGAGTAACTTCCAAGCCTCATTTCTGAGAGAAGCCTCTGCACCACCTGTGTCTCTCCTAGAGAGTTGTGGAGTGGGCCTGGCAGTGTCCCTTGGCCCCTCTTTAGTTTGGGGAATCGGAGGAGTGCCACCTTGAAGGGTCAGCAAAACAGGCATCAGTGAATAGGACCAGAGGAAAACAGACCCTCTTTCCACTAAGGGAGGCTCAAATTCTGAGTTTGGTTTTTTCAGGTGGCATCTGTGCTAGGGACCTCAAAATAGTTGCTGTCCCACTCTGTGCTGCAATCTTTATTTGTGAACTGGTACCCAAAAGAGTCAGAGGACCAGGTGTCTTATCCCGGCCTGCTGGGCATCCTGTCGGGAGTGCAAAAGCCTGGGGAAGGGAGTATGGAAGGCGGCACCCTCATTGTGGATGGTGATTCCTCTCCGAGCTACTCTGCACTTTTTCCCACAAGTACCTGCGCAAGCACTCCCCTCCTTACCCCCACTGGGCACACCCCCCCATCCTGTCCCTAGGGAAACTGAGGCTTATGCAGTAACCCTTAGGCTTTAGCCAAGCAGAAATTGGCTTCTTTGGGTCATGGCTTTTTTCATGAGGCTGAGTCTGTGCAGGTGCAGACTAGCACCCTCCAGTTTGGGTCCCACAGGTCTTTTCCATCAAGGCATCATTCACAGATTTTCCAGTGCTCTAGGATCCCCTCCTGCCTCCTCCCGCCCACCCCAAGGGTCCCAGGGCTAGTTCTTTGTCTCAGACTCAGCTTCCCCTAACAGCGCATCCCCTTGGGGCCAGAGGGGGCCACCTCTCCAGATCCTCAAGATCTCACACCACTCTGAAACACAGTTGTCTAGTAGCCCCACTGCAGTGGGGCTGGGGGGAGTCCCATGGGGTCTAGAATGGGGAAAAGGTAAGCTCCAAGAATGGAGGAACTCAGTGCCCTGGAAAAGGACCCAGGCTGCCATGGGGGTTGGGCACACCCCAGAGAAGTCTGTGCTGAGGGTGGGGCTGGGGAGTCAAAGTCTTGGACTTTGTGGGTCAGTGTGTGTGTGTGTGGGGGGGGGTTGGTGTCAGAGTCTTTGCTTCTGGGTGTGGGCATATCTAGGCCTAAGACCGTATATGCTTATGTGTGTGTGGGCAAGCATGTTTATGGCCTATGTAGTGATGAGACATCTGTGTGGGTAGGAGGTTCAAATGTTGCTGAGTTTGGAGTTTGAGAGTTTGAGTATGTTCAGCTTAAGTGTTTACTGAAGACCTTAGTATTGTGCATTGTTGGGTCAAAAATATAAACCAGACACTACTTCTTCAGAAGCTCAGTCTGGTGGGATATATGTGATTTTGTGTCTGAGAGCATGCCTGGATATGTACAGGGGTATGTGTTGGGGTGGGGGAGGCAGCTGAGGCCTAGAACTTTAAAAATGAGAGCAAGGTCTGGTCTTAGCTTGTCCATTGCTCAGACGGACACGGACTCATGTGGCTGCAGGGGTGGGGCTCAGTTCCCATGGGATGGCCAAGTTAAGTGTCAGGGAAGCTCTGGGGAACCAGTCCTGCCATAGGAGCCCCTGGCTTGTCCTCCCTGCCTGGCCCCAGCCCTCACAGAGCCCTGTGGGCAGACGCAGCTGCTGCCAACAGTCACCCTGATGAGGCACCTGGAACAGAGGACCGCTCCCGCTTCGCTCCCTAAGTGAACAAGCCTCAGCGGGCAGGCAGGAAAGGGCTGTGAGTCACTGTCAAACAAGTCTCCCTGCCTGGGGAGGACTGTGCCACGGGTGTGACAAGTAGGGGCCCAGATTGGGAGCTGGATGAGTAGCTGAGGGCCAGCCTGCAGTCCATCCTTGGCATTAAGTAGAAATTCGAAGTCCTGGGATGGCGGCAATGGTGAGCTGGCTGACTGGGTACCTTGGTCAGAGGCCTTGTCCTTTCCTCCCTGGACTGGCCTGGTGACCAGTGGGGCTGGGCTGGGCCTGTCTGCAGGGGGTGAGGGGTGGGTCTGAGAGGGCTTGGAATTGAGCAGCTAGTGGTTAATCATTTCCCTGCCTGGGCCTTAAGCAGTCCTGCCACCTCCAAGCACTGCCCTGGGTTCTCTTGACACCTTTCCCTGGACCATTAGGGCTGGAAGTGACCTCAGCTACTACCCTCAGTGATCCCTCCTGTGGAAGGGGAGCCTGAGGCCTGCCTTGCTCAGGGGCTGAAGACTGGCCCAAGGTCACAGCCAGGCCCTAGGTTCCTTGCTCTATTCTTTCCTTTATCCCAGCCTCCAAGGTTTGCAAACTGTGCTCCTAGGGTTCTACAGAATGCTGCAGGGACAGCCTCACACCCTCTCCTGCTTTAACCAGAGGAGCTGAGTCTTAATCTGTTATATGATATGGGCTTCTATCTACAATTCAATTTGGGAATATAGGTTTTGCTAAACAAATATAGGTGGTGTTTAACAACCACTGCACTTAAAACGCCTGCTGTCAGTTGCTGCTGGGTAGGTATAAGTTAGACTTCATGAAGAAACCCCCTAGGGGAGAAGTCAAAACAAGCTGTCCATGGAGTAATGGGGTAGAATGCCTTTTGGAAGAGAAAAAGAAGAGCCTCTGGGGATGGAGTTAGTGGAGTCAGGAGCGTGGAGGATGGCAGCCCTAAATGGAGGCAGATGTATGCCTCCAATTAGAGGCTGAGAGGCAGAGGAAAGGGTTGGTGAGAGAGGGCTGTGGCATCAGCTGGTGGGGCCTGCAAGTTCCATCCCCAGTTTGGCTCTGGGGCTAGAAGGTCAATGATGCATTGGTCACTGGGTTTCCCCAAACCTCTGGTCTCCCTGGCTGCACTCTGAACTTCCTGCCTGTTCTAGGTGGGGAATTCCACACCTTCAGAGGCTCTTAGGGACCTCCTTGTTCTTCCCCCTGGGTGTTCAGCTACTGGGCTCCCACTATCGTTTGGGGCCAGCCCTCGTAGGACAGTTTTCTGGCAGTTGATATCCTGGTTAAGGGCATTGGCTTTTGAAAGGCTGACCTAGGTCAAAATCTTGGTTCCTTTTCTTTCTTTCTTTTTAATTGAGACAGAGTCTCACTTTGTCACCTTCTGTAGAGTGCTGTGGCATCATAGCTCACAGCAACTTCAAACTCTTGGCTCAAGTGATTCTCTTGCCTCAGCCTCCCAAGAAGCTGGGTCAGAAATGGAAGGGAAAGCAAAGGTCTTTCCTCAGGAAAGACCTCAGCAGGTGCAACTGTTGAAATCCCAGTAATAAATAATTAAGGGGTCAGGATAGTGCTTAACATTTGGTAGGCGCCCACCACAATGCCTGGCTTTTTTTGTTTGTTTTGTTTGTTTGGCAGGCCTGGGCCGGGTTCAAACCCGTCAGCCCCAGTGCATGTGGCTAGTGCCCTAACCACTGAACTACAGGCACCCAGCCATTGTCCTTCTTTTTATTAGTTGTGCTATTTTGGGGAAGCTATTAACTCCCCCTAGCCCCAGTTTTCTCATTTAAAAGGGGGATAACACCCCCTTTCCTCCCAGCATTGTTGTATTAAAGTAGTGCCCAGAATTAGTTAGGACTTAGCTGTTAGTACACTGACTTCTTTTATTTATTGATATATTATCTATGAAATGTTAAGCACTATCCTAACCCCTTAATTATTTATTACTGGGGATTCTTTTTTTTTTTTTTTTGCAGTTTTTGGCCAGGGCTGGGTTTGAACCCATCACCTCAGGCATATGGGGCCGGCCCCCTACTCCTTTGAGCTACAGATGCCACCCTATTACTGGGGTTTCAACAATTGCACCTGCTGAGGTCTCTCCTGGGGACTGACCTTTGCCTTCCCTTCCATTTCTGTCCATTTCCTCATCTTCAAAGGTCAGTAGCTCCTTGCTTATTGGAGATAACATTTCTTCCTGGAGTGGGGTAGTGGTGAAGGGACTTGTATTTTTCCAAGGTTTTAGTTTGAAAGCAGCCCTATGGTTCCTGAGCTGTAGGGGTGGTGACCATGTCACCTAAGTGTCACCCCCCCCCCAAACTGTGGGGTCTTGGTGTAAAGTTTGAGGACACTCAAGGACACTGGGAGACCCCTTAAGACTGGGACTGGCCTGGGGAGTAAGTCATTTCTGGGGGACCAGGCTCTGACTGATCGTATACCATATAGGGCCCTACCAAAGGGTAAATAAATAGGCTGCTTCTCCCGAGGCTGAGAGCAGGTGTGGGAACCGAGTTGCTCAGGACTGAGGAATCCTGGAGGCCCCAGCCCCGTGGGCTGTGGGTGCGGTCAGGGGAGAGGCGCTTCCAGCTTTGTGGGTCACTTTCCCCAGTGGATCCCTCAGCTTTGGAAGGTGAGGGCTGTTCTCAAACGATGGCCAAGGGGCAGGGCTGCATCCAGGAAGGAGAGCGTGGAAGTCGTCATGGCCTTAGATGAAAGGCAGCTGGAGTTGGCATTTCAAAGTCTGAATGAGAAGCCAAGGAGAGATGGGGTATCAGAGCCTGCTTCATAAGAGACTATCAGTTTGTTTGTATGAATGAGTGATGAATGCTCACAGGTGTCATGGGAAGGCCCAAGAATCTTGTTTAAGTTCCATGGTAAGGGCCATGGGGAACTTTGATTGGGCTCTCTTCTGTTTCCACTGATGTAGGAGGGTTTGAGATTCTCAGAGAAGAGTTGCCCCGATGGCAGAATTGGGAGGATCTGGAAGGTCCCCTTTCAAAGGCAGCTTCTTTCCTGTGGGTGATGGGCAGATTGCATCTAGCAATCTAGCAGAGATGGGCAGATTGCTTTTGGGGGCACTGAGGACTCTCTTCCCAATTCGTGCTCTTCTGTGTCAAGGCAGAGGTTTGGCAGTTCCTAGGGAGGAGAGCCCTGCATTTCTGGTGGGTGCTAGATGCCAAACTGGATCCCAGAGATAACAGATGCCCTATCCTGTGGTCAGTTCTCTCATGGCAGGACAGTTACAGCACACTTTGATTTCAGATCACTCATACCCATTCTACTCTCCTTTATTTACTCATCTTAAAAAGGCAAAACTTAAGATCTCTCTGTATTTATGTAAATTATGCCTTAATTGTAGAAAGCACCCTTTAAGTCCACATTCTCCTTAGCTGTTGTCCCATTTTATCTGCTTTGCTTCTCAGTAAAACTTCTTGAAAGAGTTGTCGCTAGTCACTGACTAATTTTTTCTAGCTTCCCATTTACCTCCCACTAGCCCAGTCAGGCTCTGGCTTACCCATTGAAGCCACCTTCCTGGGGACCAGGCATCTCTGGGCTCATGGCCGTACCCTGGCCTCATCCTTCCTTATAGTAGCATTTAACTGACACCCTCATTCCTCTATCTTTGCCTACTTTACTTCCATTCTCCCCGGCTGCAGTGTGTTTTCTTTCTTTCTTTTCTTTTCTTTTCTTTTCTTTCTTTTTTTTTTTTTAAAGAGACAGGGTCTTGCTGAGTTGCCCAGGATGGATCATAGCTTACTGCAGCCTCGAACTCCTGGGGTCAAGCCTTCCTCCTGCCTCGGCCTCCGGAGTAGCTGGGGAGAGCCATCAGGGCCTGGCTGCCTGTAGCACCTTGATCTCCTTTGCTTTTCACTGGTTTCTTCTCATTCTCAATAAGCCAGAAACAAAACTCTTCATTTTTCTTTCTCCTTCCACTGCATCCTGGTCCCACCAAACTCCTTCCTCCTCTGGTGTTTCCCATCTTACTAATAGCAGCACCAGGAGTTGCTCAAGCCCCGGATCTAGTTTTCTTGATTCTTCTCTGCCTCACCCCTTATGCTGCTCTCCCCAACATCTATTAGCAAACCCCATGGGCTCTATCTTCAGAACATGTCCTGAATCCATCATTTTTGCTCATCTCTCTGTCACCACCTGGGTTCAAGCCACCATAAGTCTCGCTGGGCAATGGCAGGTGCCTCCTGACAGGACCCTGTTTCCCTTCTCTCCCTGCCCCCTTCAATTCATTTTCCATGCAGCAACGTAGAAATCTTAACATGTCTTTTCTCTGTGTACAGCCCTCCCATGGCTCTCCAGCTCACTCAGAAGGAAACCCAAGTTCATTCCCAGGTCTCCAGGGCCCTCTGCTCTGGCCATGCCTCCCTGTCCAGCTTCCCTGCAGGCCACGCTCTGGCTTTCCCTCCTCCCCTGAATACCCAGCTGCTCCCACCCAGGACCCTGCACTGTGCCCTCCTCCTGGGGCACTCTGCAGCCTGGTCCAGCTCTGGCAGTCTTCCTCATGAAGCAAGTCTCTCAGGACTTCCCCGCCCTGTCACTTTCTCCCATGTCATTCACCTTGTGCCATTATCCTGTGACACTTAGCCAATGTCATTTTGTTCATGGACTTGTTTCCTTATACACTGTCTGACTCTCCCCCATTTCCTCATATGTGCTCCATGAAGGGAAGGACCCTGCTGATCTCGTTCCTACTGTACCCCAGCCCCTGGATTCATGGCTCACTCATCGTAGGTATTCAAAAAGCATTTGTTGAATGTGAACATTGGCTTAATAAATGTGGCGCTGGACCTACAAAAAAAATCAGCCAATGTGTGGTTCATCCTTCTTATTTTAGGAGGGGAACTGAGGAAGAGAAAAGGAAATGACTTCCCCTAGGGCAGGAGGATGAAGAACTGGAATGTCTAACCCTGCCTTACACCAAAGACTCCCTGGAAATCTTCAGGGGTCCATAGATGCAGTTTATATATAATTCATTTGATATGCATTTTATATATAAGTTTGCAGGTTTTTGTGATTTTTTTTTTTTTTCCCTTCCTAGAATTGTCTTCTCTTTAAATCAAGGCTTGGTTATATGGCGATACCCCCTGGTAGGGGGAAGCTCAGTAGGACCAGGTCTGTGACTCTGAGAGGAGCTGAGACAGCAAAGAGGGTAGAAAGTTTGGCCCCCAGTAGTGCAAAGGGGAGGCCTTACAGTCACTGCCGGAACTCTGAGTCTGAGCTAGGCTCCAGACAGTAAGGGGAAGTCAGAAGCAGGTGCCAGGGAAGGCTCACCCAGCTGCCTGTGAGAACCTGCTGCTCTCCTGCTCCAGCCCTCTCATTCCTCAGGCGGAAGCACAGCCTCCTGCCCCGAACAGACCCTGCACCTTCCGACTCCTTGGCTTGCTTGTTCTCTCTCCTCTGCCTAGACTGCCCGTTCCACCCCAACCCCCGTCACCCCATCAAAATCCTGTTCCAGCCCAGGTTCGGTTTCTCTCATGAGCCTTTCCTGATTGTCTTGGCCTATGGCAGTTGTTCCCTCAGTCTGCAGAGGAACATCTCCATTTGGTTGTGGGAATTATTGGTGGACATACTTCTCTTTCTCACTAGCTTGTTGGTATTTCCAGGGCAGAGACCCTGCCATGCCATTCTGTGACCCTCCTCAGCAATTCCTGAGACGGTGCTGGCTTATTGCAATTGCTCAGCCAGTATTTCTTTGCTCTTTGGTTGGGTTGGAAGGGCAGGTGGATGAAAGAGAAGATGGGCTAGGGGGAGGTGGGTGGTAGGGCAGGGGTGAACAAGGATGATGGGGCCCTAGAGGTGGGTGTTTGGTGATGGTGGTCAGGTGGGTAGGTGTGTGCATGAGAAAACACATGGCTGGAATGGGAGGGGGTCAGCTGCTTGGCAGTAGAGTGTCTGCCTGGCCCAGTGAATGATGGTGACTGGGCACAAGGACGAAAAATAGGATGTGCAGCGTCCCATTCTCCCCAGACAGATGAAAGTTGTCTGGATTTTCATCTAGATCTTTCAAGCTGTGTGGCTTAATTCTTTCTATTGAAACTTTTTTCATCAAAATGGTAAGGATGGCACCAAGAGCTCCTTAGAAGTAAAGGGGAAATGATACCAGAGACTTGTGGGTGTAATTGGTCTTATTTGTGAGCCTTCCCCTCCTTAATACTAAGTAATTCTGTAGGGAATTGAGTAGCTGAGAAAAATTTCCTTATGACTGTCCTTTGAGAGGGATATTACCTAAGAATCCTAGGACCAAAAAGAAAAAGGCCCTTGGCAAGTTCATCTGCTTCCGTCAGTCAGAATCATGCTCACCTTTCACATGTCTGGTCACCCCCAGAGAGGGAGGCCCCCATGTCCTGCCCTGGAACCAAGGGTAAAAAGTCTGACCCAATGATTCTCATCTGGGTTGACTTTGGCCCTCAGGGGACATGTGGTGATGTTGGGAAATGTTTTTGGTTGTCAAACTGGGGATGGTGTTACTGACATGTGGCAGGGGGCTAGGGATGCTGTCAACACCCTGCCATCCAGGACAGCCTTGGACACAGAATTATCTGGCCAAAATATCAATGATGCTGAAGTGGAGAATCCCTGATTAAATCCCTGTAGCCATAGTAGAAATTTAATAGTCACAGAAAATTAACTATTTTTAAAATCAAAAATTTGAGGCTCAGTGCCTGTAGCTCGGTGCCTGTAGGTGTTGGCCCAGACCTGCCAAAGAACAATGACAACTACAACTAAAAAATAGCCAGGAGTTGTGGTGGGTGCCTTAGTCCTAGCTACTTGGGAAGCTGAAGCAAGAGAATTGCTTAAGCCCAAGAGTTTGAGTATGCTGTGAGCTGTGACACCATGGTACTCTACCGAGGACAACATAGTGAGACTCTATCTCAAAAAAAAAAAAAAAAAAAATTGAAAATTTGGGATAGTTGCATTAAAAAGTAAAAAGCAAAATTAATTTCAATAATATGTCTCATTTACCCCAGCATATCTAAAATATTACCATTTCAACATGTAACCAGAATACATAATTTTTTTTGTTGTTTGTTTGTCTTTTGAGACACCCTGGGTAGAAGGCTGTGGTGTCATAAGTCATAGCAAACACCTTTTCTGTCATCCTGGGTAGGGGGCTGTGGTGTCATAGCTCACAGCAAACTCAAAGTGTTGGGCTTGAGCAATCCTGCCTCAGCCTTTTGAGTAGCTGGGACTACAGGTACCTAATTTTTCTATTTTTGGTAGAGTTGGGGTCTTGCTTTTGCTTGGGCTGGTCTTAAACTCCTGATTTCAAGCAATCTTCCCACCTCAGCCTCCTACAGTGCTAAGATTACAGGTGGGAGCCACCTCACCTGGCCACATAATTCTTTTTTTTTTTTTTTTTTTGAGACAGAGCCTCAAGCTATCCCCCTGGGTAGAGTGCTGTGGCTTCACAGCTCATAGCAACCTCCAACTCCTGGGCTCAAGCTAGTCTCCTGCCTCTGCCTTCCAAGTAGCTGGGACCACAGATGCCCGCCACAACGTCCGGCTATTTTTTGGTTGCAGTCATCATTGTTGTTTGGCGGGCCCGGGCTGGATTCGAACCCGCCACCTTAGGTGTATGTGGCTGGCGCCTTAGCCACTTGAGCCACAGGCGCTGAGCCCACATAATTCTTAATAAGAGCTTTTACTGGTCCTTGAAATTCAGCATGTATTTCAAACTTAGAGCACGTCTCTCTTCAGAACAGCCACATTTCCAGTGTTCCATAGCTGCCTGTCGCCAGTGTGGGCCTGGGGGACCTTCAGTTTGTTCTCTCAGCCCCATAGGAGCCTGGCTTGGGAGGGTTGGGGTCTCTTCCCGGCAGCGCTGACCGTCCCCTCCCCTTCCCTCCCAGCCTAGCTCGGCAGCGGACTCTGGAGGATGAAGAGGAGCAGGAACGAGAGCGCAGGAGGCGGCACCGCAACCTGAGCTCTACTACGGAGGATGAGTCTCCCAGGCCCACGCAGAATGGAGACCGGCCTGCTGCTGAGAGGTGCTGGGGCAGGGTGGGGGCCGGGTGGGGGCCAGGGCATTATGTCTTAACCTGGGCAGGGGGGACGGACTTAGCTGCCCTGGACAGACTAAGCATGGTGTGTACAGCCAGCCCAGGGAATGAGACTGAGGGTGTGAAGATGGATTCCAGGTCTCTCACTTCCCCAGACCCCTGCTCAGCACTGCCAGCTTCCACCCTCGTCGTAGCAGTGAGTGCTGCTGTATGTTGGGATCATCCGAGAGCCAGTACTTTGCCAGACATTTTATAGACACAGCTCACTTAATCCTCCCAATATCTCTGAGAGAGCAATTTTGCTAACTCATTTTGCAGATGGAGAAAGTGAGTTGAACTGTTTTTAGGCGACTTACTAAGATCATTTACCAAAAGAGCAGCAGAGCTAGAATTTGCATCTGGACCTGGCTAACTCTGTACGGCCCAACTCTTTCTGTTAACCAGGTTGCACCCTGCAGCTCTGCCCCTTGATAATTCACTTCTGAGGGAAGGAACACTGGGGCTATTTTGCTATCTAGATGTTGGGATTGTGAGGGAAAGAAAGAGAAGGGCCTGGGATTTACTGAATGCTACCTACGTGCTGGGACTATGCTGGGCACCCCCACGAGATGACTCTCATTTTGCTTCTTAACAAGCCCAGTTTGCAGATTTGAAAACAGGCTCAGATGAGGAGTTAATTTTCCTGAAATGACACAGAGATTAGGGTGGTGAGAAAATCCTTTTATGTTGTAGGTCCCCCAAAGAAGGGAAAACGGTGTGTATCCTGGGCTGCACCAATACCTGTGGCTGTCACCTAATCCAGCTGTCCCCACATGACAGGAATGTGGGATAGCATATTAGAGGCCTTGGGTTCTACTCCAGCTCACCTACCAATTAGCTGTGTGACCTTTGACGAGTCCCTGAACACTTCTAGTCTGGATCTGAGGTCTATGGGGGAGGAACTGTGTTCATTCCTCTTAACCCAAATGCCCGGCATGGGCTTGGCACACATAAAATGGTTGCTCGGAGTTTATTGATTGTTTCTGTACATGAATGGTTGGGTCTTACACGGGTTTATAAACTTTTTAAGAAACCACAGAGTGCTTTTTTCAAAAGGAAACTTGGAAGCCCAACATGTAGAGGGGATAGCGGTGATCCTTATTTAAGTGGTGGTGGTGGGGAAGCCATGGCCTGACTTTCTCACCTCCTCCTTGGCGGCTGTGGAGGCATCTTCGATGGGTTAGGGACACTCAGGGTCCTTCCCACTCTGGTTTCCTGATACTATCTCCACCCTGTTTCCCATCTCCTGACTTAGACTGCCGAGTGTGGAGGAAGGAGAGGTGCCCAAGCCACTTTCCCCAGCCTTTAAAGATGAGGATGAGGACGTGCAGGCCATCCTCAGGACGCGGCAGGAGAGGAGGCAGAGGCGGCAGGTGCTGGAGGCTGCACAGGCCCCCATCCGGGAGAGGCTGGAGGCTGAGGAGGGAAAGGACAGTTCAGGCCCTGGGAAAGCCACACCGCAGCCCCTAGCACCCAAGAAGGAACTGGAGCCCCCACCTCGCCGGAAACTGAGCCGAGAGCAGCGGGGGCCCTGGGTCTTGGAGGAGGAGAGCTCAGTGAAGAAAGGGGTTCCAGAGAAGACCCCAGTTGTGGAGAAATCCTTCATGCCAGAGAAGGCAGCACCCAAAAAGAGACTGGTCTCAGAGAAAGCCTCTGTCTCAGAGGAGGTGGTGGCCCCTGAGAAAACATCCCCGTCCAAGAAGATGACTGTGTCACCAGAGAAGCTGGTTCCAGAAAAATCAAGTATCTCAGAGAATACTCTGGCCACTGAGAAAACGTCCATGTCAGAGAAGATAGCAGTGACAGAGAAAAGGTCCATCTCAGAGAAGAAGTCAGCTGTAGAAAAAACAAGTGTCTCTGAGAAAGTGTCAGCCCCAGGGAAGACATCGGGCTCAGAAAGGAGACTGGTGTCTGAGAAAGCATCAATCTTTGAGAAGTCACTGGTCTCAGAGAAGAGTCCAGCCTCAGACACTAAGCTGGTCCCAAAGAGAGCAGCAGCCTCAGAGCAGTCCCAGGCCCAGGAGCAGCCAGCCTCTGGGGGAAGCCCGGCCGTTACCAAGGAGCAGAGAGGAAGGGCCCTCTCTGGGAAGAACCCACCTTCCTCTGCAGAGCAGGGAGCGACGACGCCTCCGACTGCAGCTTCCCGTTTCCCCCCAGTCACACTCAAGGTTGGCTGTGCTCTTGTGCTTTCCAGCCTCCCTCTCTACCCCCAGCTGTCCCTCCCTACTAGTCCTGCCCGAGTGGTCTCTAGTTTCCTTGCCATTTCCCTTCTTCTCACCTGGAGGATGGCCTTAGTTGTCTCTCCCTGCCTGCTTCCTGCCATGGTTAGAAGAGGGACAGTGAGATGGGCAGGCCACGGGAACTTATAGGGCATTAGCTGTGGGGCAGGGGGCACTACCCATACCACATCCTCATCTAGGGCCTGGACTTTAGGGCCCCAGAACCTCAACAGACCGTTGGCAAGCCTCAGGTCCTTCCAGAAGCTCCCCTAGAAAGCTTTGCCTGGTGGCCTGGCCCCAGGGAGCTGTGTCTCCCAGCCACTCCCAAGCAGGTGCAGGAGGCAGGAGAGCAAAGCCCAGGACTGTCTTGCTCTCCCCTTCTTCCTCTAGCTCCTGGGATGAGCCATGCCACTGGGGTCTATGGCAGCCTGGGTCTGGGGGGACCTAGTCTTCTGTGTGACATTCCCCCTGCTCCATCCAGGTGAAAATCCCCAGCAAGGAAGAAGAGGCAGACTCATCTTCACCCACCCAGCGCACCTATAGCAGCTCCCTCAAACGCTCCAGTCCCAGGACCATCTCCTTTCGGGTGAGAGCCCTGGGCACCCTTGTCCACCTGATCCATGGTAGGACAAGCCAAGGAAACAAACATCATCACAGTATAGGAGCCTTAGGTTAGATTGTAGGAAGATCCTCTGGATAGAGACAGCTTTGGATACCCATGGATGTCCCAAACCAGATGAAGTTGTATTCAATAAAGGAGAGCAGTAGCCCCCTCTAGTGGGAGAGGCCAGTGCTGCAGAAAGAGGGCATAGGCAGATGCTGGGCTGTGGGAAGCCCACTCCTGCCCTCTTCCATTTCTGGCCTCATCAAGGAGGCTTGCCCAGGAGGGCGCGGAGGCGCTCTCTGCTCTGCCACTGCTTCAGTAGACAAATGGTGTTCTTGTTCCACAGGGTCATTCCCTCCTTCACTGACCAAACGGGCATTGTGACTCTCTTGTGTGCCAGGCCCTCATGGGTATGCTGGAGGCCTGGTGTTGCTCAGTGCCTCACAGGGCTCATGGGCAGTGGGGAGGCAGATAGGAAAACATGGTTACAGGACTTCTGAGAAGGGAGCCTAAGGAAGGTCCTGACTCAGACTGGTGGATGGGGATAGGGTTTCCCAAGCAAGATGAGGGCCTTTAATGAAGACTTGGCCACATATTTCCTTGGGTGTAGAGAGGGTGGGCGGTCCAAGGAGGAGGAAGTGTTCTGAGAGCTCACTCAAGGGGGGCCATCGACCTCTCACTGCTCCCCCTCACTAATGCCTTTCCTTTCCATTTCAGATGAGCCCCAGGAAAGACAACTCAGAAACAGCCTTAACTCGCAGGTGGGTGGCCTGGACATTTGGTCATGTTCAGAATGTGTTTTTTGACCACTTGCCACCCATGCCTCTTGTGCCAGGCTGTGCCAGGGGACATGTGAGGGGAAGGCATAATCCTTGTTCAGTGCTCTAGATCTGGCAGAGGGGGGCAGGATTAACTGAGGGACTAATACTAGAAGAAGGAACAGGGAGGGTGAGGAGTCTGGGAAAGCTTCTTAGAGGAGGCAGGCCTTGGGTGGGGCTCTAAAGGGGGAGGAGGGTTTAGTCTTAAACTTAGAAGTAGGAAGGGAGGTTAAGCACCTGTAATCCCAGTACTTTGGGAGGCTGAAGCAGGAGGATTGCTTTAACCCAGGAGTTTGAGGCTGCATTGAGCTGTGATTGCACCACTGCACCCTAGCCTGGGTAACAAAGTGAGACCCTTTTCTAAAAGGAAAATAAAAATGGGAAGAGTGTAGAGGGAGACCAAGAACAGAGTAGGGGAGGGAAAGTCTCAGAAATTTCTGCAGCCTAGTGTCATCCCTGCCAATGTCATTGTCCCTCAGCAGGCTTTGTGTAGGGGCCCAGGAATCTGCAGACTTAAGGAGTTGCCCATGCTTCCCTCATGCCAGAGAAGGCAGCACCCGAAAAGAGACGCCTCAGAGAAAGCCTCTATCTCAGAGGAGATGCTGGCCCCTGAGAAAACATCCCTGATGCAAGTCATTTGAAGACTATGCTTTGGGGGAAAAAAAAATAGGATCTGAAAAGTAGTTGTGCTTATGTGTTAGGAATTTCATCCACTCATGCTGTGTTCATCTATCCCAGCAGTTCTCAACCTGTGGGTACCCCTTTATAATAATGAAAATATATCCTGCATATCACATATTTACATTACAATTCATAACAGTAGCAAAATGACAGTTACAAAGTACCAATGAAAATAATTTTATGATTGGGAGTCACCATAACATGAGGAACTGTATTCAAGGGTCGCGGCAGTAGGAGGCATTAGGAAGATTGAGAACCACTGATCTTCCCTCTGTATGTTTCCTGAAGCCTACCTGCTACACTTGTACTAGGCTAGGCCTAGGGTTTGGGGTGGGGATGGATGAAGAGTACAAAGATGAGTAAGACACAGTTGTTGCCCTCAAGTAACTCACACAAAACCATGAAACATAAGCCACCCAAGTGGGGAGGTACAGGGGTGGGAGTATGAGGTCTAAGGGCTGGGAATTTAGTAGTAGCTGCAACAGCGCCAGCCTGCTAGGGCTGGGGAAGGTATCAAAGAGCAAACTGACATCCAAATAGTACTTACAGGACTCGTGGATGCTTTCCAGGTGGAAAACTAGAGGAATGGCATTTTAAATAGAGGGAACAGCATGTGTTAGGAATTCCATCCACTCACACTGTATTCATCCACTCTCTGCATGTGGTGAAAAGTGTGGGTTGTCCAGCTGGCTGGCACATTAGGCATGTGGTTGGGCGGCGGTGGGGGTGGGGGGGCACAGCACTAGTATAACGAGAACTGTGTGTGCTGTGCCAGGGACTTGGGTCTCTATCCTGTGGTCCGAGGAATCTGAGCCAGAAAGACAGGATCAGATTTGTTTGAGGTAGGAGCAGCCTGGTAGCAGAGGAGAGGGGAGAGCTCAGGGTGGCGGCGGGGAGAGTGGGGAGGTGGTGATTTCTGTGGTGGGAAAGGAAGAAAGGAAGAGCCTAACTCAGGAGTTTCTGAGGTGTAAGTGACAGGGCGTGGGAGAAGGGAAAAGGGAGGGAGTGGAAGGTGTTTCTGATCCCAGGGACGTCCTACGGAGTGGGGTGTTTCTTGGGAGGTGAGTAAGATCCCTGGGGACTGAGGTACAGCCTACCCTATAATGGAGGACCACGTGTCCCTTACCAGAACAGTGGGGTGTGAAGGGGCTGCTCCTCAGGCCTTGGGTGCAAGCCTGGGCTCCCTGAGGTGAAGTGTGTCTCACCTGGTTTGTCCCGTCTTCCCACCCTGCAGTGCCAGTGTGAGGCTCCCAACCAGCACGGAGAAGCTGGGAGAGAAGCTGGAGAGATACCACACAGCCATACAGGTGGACGGGGTGCCTGAGGAGTATGGGGGCGTGGTCCTTGCACCTCACCGGCCACATAGGTCAACAGTGTGTGTTCTGTGTTCCCAGAGATCAGAATCAGTCAAGTCTCCAGGCTCCTCTCGTGCCGAGTTCTTTGTGGCTCCTGTGGGTGTGGCCAGCAAGCGCCACCTCTTTGAGAAGGAGCTGGCAGGCCAGAGCCGAGCAGAACCAGCCTCTAGCCGGAAGGTAAGGGGCTCGGGGTCTCCAGCCCTGAGGTCTCCAGAACCTAAAATGTGATCCTGGCAGTGCTAGAAAATTCTGTATCTTTCCTGTGTCAATTAATGTTGGCAGAACCTTCACTTGAATTACTGTTCATGTTCCTGAGCCCATCTCTGTAGCTGTGTGCATAGCTTCCTGGGAGCAGGGGAGGGGCAGGCTCAGGCCGGCCACAGCACAGGTATATAGGAGTGAGGGAGGGTTCTGCCCCCATTCCAAGGCTTAGAAATGCTTTGCTGTTGCCAGTGGCCCCAAACCCTGAGATGGAAGGCTCTCTTTTTAGGAGAACCTGAGGCTCTCAGGAGTTGTGACATCCAGGCTCAACTTGTGGATCAGCAGGACCCAGGAGTCTGGAGATCAGGACCCTCAGGTGCCCTGCCCCTCCCAGATATCTTTTTCATGGTGGGGTGGTCAGGACGAGGTCTGGAAAGTAGTGAGTCCCTCAGGAGTAGGGACAGTTGGGTAGTAGGCAGGGCATGGATGGGCCTGGGGGTTGGAATGCAGCAGAGGGGAGGGGTGGGTCTGGGGTCCTTTGCCCTTTCAAGAGGGAGGATAACCAGGTGGGGTTTTGGGCCTGGGATCCTAAGCCCCTCACAGCCCTGCCTCAGTGCCTGTGCTCTCCACCTGATACCCCCAATCAGGAGGCACGGAGAGAGTCGGCAGCCACCAACAGGACTCAGTGGGGAAGGAAACCAGACTCCTCTCTGGATGCCGAGGTAAATAGAGTGGGCAGGGGGCTGGCCCTGGGCAGGAGGTCATGGGTATGCAGTGGGAGACCCCCCCCCCCCATGCCCTGCCTCTCACATGTGCATGACTGATTTGCCTGCAGTTGCACAGTCCAAGTGCCCAGAATGCCCCCATTCCCGCTTGCACCAGCTGGTCTGTGCCAACCTGGAGAATAGGATAGATCCCTCAGCTAGCTTTCCTTCCTGCAGCTCCACCGGTCCCACAGATGGCAGGTTTCTGACCGCCTGTCCAGGGGCTCCTCCCAGCCCCAGGGACTCCCTTGCCTTGTCCTAATAGACCTTTGCCCCACAGGTGTGACAAGTCCTGCTGAGAGACCTGCAAATCTGCATCTCAGGGCCTACCTTTCTTCCTGCCGGCCCCTGCCTCAGGCAGCACCACCACCCTGCCTGTCATTGCCCCTGCTCACTTCCTTCCTCTTGACCTGCCTGGCTGGAGCCCCTGGGGGCCCAGAATATCTGAGACTCAGCTCCTTCTGGGGACGGTGGTACCCTGGCAACTTCTTGTCCTGCCACATGTACTGGGATCCAGCATCGAGCCAGGGGACAACAGTGGTGCATGTCAGCACCATGGGGCCTCAGCATCCAATCCTGAAATGTCTCCCCTTCCTACTCACTTCCAGGATCAGGGCAGGGCATCTGAAGAACTCTGGGGCCATCTTCCTTCATGTTACGCATCTGCTCTTAGCAGGTGCTTACCTGTGTCTGTTGATGTCTCCCTTGGTCCCTGCGGCTTGCTCCCAACCCCCGAAGCCCTAACAGGCCAAGTTGTGAAAGAAACGCCAGGCCTTGTACATGTGCTTCCTTTCCCTGCCTCATCCTCCCCTTCCTTCCCTGGCCTGCTTACCTTGGCCAGGAGCTAAGTGCCTCTTTTGTGCAACCACTTACCCTTCCTTTGCAAAACCTGTTCTTAGGAAGGATCTGATAAACTCATTCACTCTCAGGTATAAGTGACTGATGATAACCTTAAAAATTAAATGCTTTGTAGAGATTTTTCTTCCTAATAAGGATCATCTGCGGTGTGAGGAGGATCATAGTTTGCCTAGTCTCTTCTCCTTGTGTTAAGGTGATGGACTCAGGCCCTGGCTTGGTGACTTGAGTATCTAGAATTGCCACATACAGTACATTTGCAGTGCCAGGCCAGGCTTTTCCCTGGTGTTCATGGTTCTGACATCATGGACCATGCGAGCCTGGGAATGCTGAGCCATTGGAGAATCTAGGATGAACCAAACTAAGAAAGTCAGCCCGGTGCCCTGTCAACCCCTTAAGTTTGTAGTTTAAAACTTGGGTTTTTTTTTTTTTTTTTTCATCATCAGAACTCTCCTGATTTTATCCAGAACCAGCTGGGGGTGAGAATAGGTCCAGAGCCCTGCTCACTTCCCTTTGAATGCCTGGGGAAACTCTAGGTCTTAGAACACATGATAGGTATCCATGATTCCCCAAGCTTATGGGGCAGAAGCAGCCTGCCTTGCTCTGGCTTTGAGTCTGTATGAGGGCTCTTGTCGCCCTGATCCTGTGGTTCAGGGGACAGAGGCTCCAGAGCTCTGTCTGTGTAGACTTCCCAGTGGCTGCAGGCTGGGCCACATCCAAAGTGTCCTGAGTTGGTCCCCCATGCTCTCACTGAGCTAAGTGTAGTGAGAGCTGGAGGCTCTGCTCTGACCACCCCTGCCCACTGCTCCTGCCAGGCTGGAGTTTGCAAGTGTTCCCACTCCACAGCTGGGTTTGAGGCCAAAGCCTGGTCAGGGCAGAGCAGTGGGTTGAATAGTGCCCAGATACTCGGGAGGCTTGAACTTGCTTGGCTCCTCCAAGGTGCCGAGTGTGATCCCTCCTGTGAGACTCAGGGTTCAAGCAGATGACCTCAAAGGACTTTTGAATGCTCATGCTCTAAACTTTAGAAAGTCCCCACTGACCAGTGAACTTTTCCAGTAAGCAAAACTGTTCAGGTAGCAGAGAGGGCTGTTCGAGCAGCTGCAGCCTCAGAGTGGTGGGACCCTTCAAGACTGCACACCATCCCCCAGGGTGCCCACCCGAGGCAGGCTGCTGGGGAGAATGTTGGTGTGGGGTGGGAGGGTACCTCTCCGCAGCTGCTGCTCTTTGGTTTGGTGCATTCGACACAAAGACTTCGGGGAGACAGATGATAAATGGAGAGAAAAATGGACACCCAAGGTGACTTCAGCTGGTGATAGACCAGTGGCAGTGACTAGCTGGTGCGGTGGGTGGGGGAGGCCTCTTGGAGGCTGTGAAATGGAGCACACTCACTGCTCCTTGACCTACCCTCCTAGTTTTCTGCCACAGTGGTCCTGTGACTCCACAGGTGGCCTGTCCTCTTGAGGGGCCTCTACTTTGCAAGCACTGTTCCAACATATGCTGCTTCCCATACTGCTCCAGCTTTCTCCCATCTGCCATGGCACTGGGAGCTGACTTTATATCTTTTTGCAAAGACATCCAAAGTGGACCAGGAACATCCCTGCTATGTTGAGGGATGCTTCTCAGTAGCTAAGTGGCTGCCTTACAGCATTGAATGAAGCCCCTGACTTGGAACAATTAGAAGTCTTACACATGTGGTCCATGGATATCAAGAGTTTACAAGGTTTTTCCCATGGGATTCTGTATGGTTTTAGATGCCCCAATCCTTCTCCTAGACATCCATTCAAACAAGTTATGGCTTGTTTTAAGGGTCATTGGGCTTAGAAGGAACACCCCCCACCCACCAAGGGAGGGTTTAGAAAAAGCAGTTTCTAAATTCCTGGCACTCCCAGGCTAGGACGAGTAGCAAGGCTAGGTCCTGGATGGCTAGGATGGGAAAGAGGGATGATGGTCCCTCTGCCCCCACCCCCTGACAGCCTGGTTCCTTCCTCACTATCTCTCTGTGAATCTTCCCTCTGTCTCCTGGAGTCTTCCCTCACCTCCATGCTGGCTGGCAAGCACATGGCTTCAGCTTGCCTTGTCACTGATCTGCTGGCAGCATGGAGGTCCATGTGGCGGGGTATAAGCCTCGGGGAGCCAGGGAATCAAGGCCATTAGGCCCGGTTGGCCACTGGGACCATGCAAGGGAGGTCCATGTGGCGGGGTATAAGCCGCGGGGAGCCAGGGAATCAAGGCCATTAGGCTCGGAGGCCACTGGGACCATGCAAGGGACAGTCAGCTGAGTGATGGGGTGAGAGTCTGATAGCAGCGTAGGTGTGGAGCAAAGGGAAGTCCTGTGTGTGGAGGATTCTTTCAAGGACACTGGCATGGATGCAACATTGCCCAAGCAGGATTGAGAGAAGAATTTGAGGACTGGGAAGGTGGGACACGTGGTCAGAGGAGAAGAAAAAGGGCAAGATTGCTGGCTTTGTCTGCTGAGAAACAGAAGCGTCTAGGGGGCTCGTGGCAAGGAGTAGGTCTGGCCCAAATGAGGGCTGTTCCTTCTCCAGACTGAGACAGGAACTGGGCTTTGAAGATTCAGGGATCAAGGGAGAGAGTCAGCTCAGCTGCCACCACATTTGTTCTCCTCCTCTATTGATTTTTGTTTTGTTTTGTTTTTTTGAGACAGAGTCTCACTCTGTTGCCCAGGCTGCGTGCTGTGGTGTCATTGTAGCTCATAATAAACCTCAAACTCCTGGACTTAAGCAATCCTCTTGCCTCAGCCTCCTGAGTAGCTGGGACTATAGGCATATGCCACAAAGCCTTGCTAATATTTCTATTTTTAGTAGAGACAAGACCTCACTCTTTCTCAGGCTGGTCTTGAACTCCTAAGCTCAAGCAATCCACAGGCCTCAGCCTCCCAGAGTGGTAGGATTACAGGTGTGAGCCGCTGCTCCTGGCCTCTCCTCTCATATTCCTCCAGTCTGGAGCTCTAGGATGTGCATGCGCATATGCAAGCAAGCAGAGTCCCTGTGCCCTGACCTTAAGGGTCTTACATTCTAGTGGGTTTAGTGGGTCATGGGCCTGACCTGCTTGGCTTTAAAGCTTTTGAGAGTGACTTTGAATAGTCCTCACTGTCCCCACACAACCCTGCTGCCTGACCAAATTCTACCTTGTATTCAACCCATAGCTATTTAAGTTCATTCTCTGTGAGGAGGGCTTGCCACATGGCTTTGGGGATCACGGAAAAGACCCACTTTGCAGATGTCTTTACTGAGGGCTACAGAGGTGGCCCTCCCAAGGTGGCTCAGCCCAGTGGTAGCAGCTGGTAGCTTGGATGCCATCTTTACCCACAGCATCAGTTCCAGAGGAGCTGCAGACAAGCTCTTCCCCTGCCTCCCAAAATTCTGGCACAGGGACTTGTGAAGTGTCTTGGAGGTTACTGTCTGCCACCCCCGACCCTGCTCCCAGCCCGCCCTCCCAGACCTGGCATGCTGGCATCTGCTTTATCAGGGTTCTCAAGAGGGACAGCTGGTTTGTGTTACATGCCTGTTCCCGGCATATCTATTCTGGTTTTAAATAGCTTATCTGAGCAGCTGGAGGACCACATGGGCTTATATGGCGTGGGGTACATGTTCCTGTAGACTTGTCCCTGGCACCTGCCAAAATAGCAGCCAACACCCCCTTCCCCACAGCCACCCCTCCCCTCTGCCTGTCTCGGCAGCACATTCCTCCCACCGCAGGGCTGGTCTCACCAGGCCCCAGCCCACATGCCTGCTTAAAGCCCTCTCCATCCCCTGCCTTCACCCAGTCCCTGCTGAGGCTGAGCAGACGCCTCCAGGATCTGTCCGCAGCTGCTGTTCTGAGGTAAGGCTTGGGCAGGCTCTGGGGAAGGGGAGAGCAGGGAATGGAGGGGCAAAAGTGAAGGTCCCAAGTCCTGGCACCTTGACCTAGTGAGTCTGCCTGTGTCCTCTCTGAGTGGATGCTCAACTTGGTTAGACGTCCACAGCCCCTCTTAGGGGAGGCCACACTTCAGAGGAGGCATTGCTGAGATTGAGTTCCAAGATGAGTGCAGTAGAGTAGAGTGTTTAGAGAACAGGGTTTGAACCTTGAATCTGCCACCAAAGATGTATGGGTCTTGGGTAAATCACTTTCCCTCCCTGGGCCTCAGTTTCCTCATCTGTAGAGATTTGCTAGGCCTTTGCCTGTTCTAAATATCAATGATGTTACAGAGCTAGTGTCTCTTTAAAAAAAAAAAAATATATATATATATATGTACATATATTTATATATATATAATGACATGCTAAGCATCAGAGACTCCCTCAAACTCCCTCATTCCCTTGGCTCCAGGTGAGGGCCACTTAAACATTTCCAGGAAGATCCTTCTGGCTGGATCCCAGAGAGAAGAGTAAGACTGTGTCCTAGTCAGTCAGATGAGTCTTTGTGGTCATTTATATTCTCAAGGCCAGGAACTCAGAAACTATCATGGAAGCACTGGGAGAGACCAAATGTACAGAGGCAGGCAGGGCACTGGAGGCCTCTCCAAGCTGACATGTGAATTCCATTTGACTTCCCTG